GCTGACCTCTTTGTTGATCCTTGGACGGGACACACCACTTCCTAACTCTGGTTCTCCACCACATCTGAAATTCCCTCCCTCCTCATCTCATCTCCTGGCTTTTCCAACATCCTTCCGGTAAAATCCCACCTCCTACAAGAAGCCTTTCCCACCCTCCTTAACGTTAGTGCCTTCCTTCTGTCCTTCCTTCTGATCTTTAATCTATCCTATTTGTAATAATGTCCCAAATGTCCCAAAAACCACAAAGTGATGAATGATATGGATGAAGAGGGAGAGAGGGAAGGGCAAGGGAGAAGAGGCTGAAAAGTACAGGCCAATCAGCTTGACTTTTATTCCTATGGAATTCTAGAATACATTCCAGATCAACCCAAAAAGTAGCCTTTAATGGATCCACATCAACCCCAACAGAGATCTCTAGTAGAGTGGGAGATAATGAGTTCCTTTTCCTTTCTAGAAGTTTTCAAGAAAATAATAAATGACCACTTACCATCAATGTTGGAGAGGGGTTCTTGCTCAGCTTCGGGTTGGACTGAGATCTGATCTGAATGTAAAATTCTATGATTCTGGGATTCTATGTACCCTCTCCCTCAGCAACGACCATTGTTATTTTGTATGACACATACCATCCAACTGTCACTGCCGGGGACATTACAGTGACATGAAGGGCTTAAAGACAATGCATATATTGTTCAAAGAGTATACTATACAACCAGCCAGTATCCTAAGACTGATCTCTTGTTTGCAAGTATGTTAAGTCACAACTCTAACATTTCAATGAACACGGTGGATTCCCCAGATAAAGCTACCCTAGATCCAAAGCACTCTGTAGTTCTGTATCCCCTCAAAAATCATAGCTTATGAGCCCCTACCAATGCGTTGACCTTCATTAGTCAGCCGAAGATACGATTCGTTCAAAGCAGATGCATCTAAATAAGTCCAGAGAGTGAGTCGAGGGATGAGTGAAGCCAAACATACCTGAAGCCCTTCTTGAAATTGGGGCAAAATAAAGACAGAGCACCCTAGGTCCTGACTATAAAACTTCATTGATGAAGAGAACCCTGAAGATCATTTAGAAAATGTGCTAAATGCTTTGGCCACTGCTGGTACCATGGTGGTGCTTCCCCATCAGGAATCTGTGGTATCCTTGGTATGAGAACTCCTTCCATCAAGAAAGACTAAAATCCATGTTTTAGCTTAGCAAATAAGTCTTGGTAGTTAACTGCCTGCTATTCCAAAGTTAAATTCCAAAGTGCCCGTGATCACAGATTTAGTGTCAGAGATGCAGATTTGAACCCATGTCTTCTTAGCTCCAAGTTCAGCTCTCTAGTTGCTGAATCATGATGACACTTTTCTACCAAGATTGCTATAAAAATTAAATGTTTTCCCCTGAGGCTGGCTGTTTTTGCAGTCTAAACTCATAAACCAATATAGTATAACACTCAATAGGACTGATGAACATTGCAGAAACCCTACTCCTAAAATACCGTTTTAGGAGGGACTTGGAAGAGTAAAGAGCATCTATATTATTGGACTGGATAGTCAACATTCTGTGAACATCCCAACAGGCTAGAAGCTTAGCAAAAGATACTAGGAAAGGTCATAGCCCTCCTGTAATTTACCACATTAAAAAACAAGTTGTAGTTTTGCAAAAGGCCCAAATCTGTATGCAGAAGAAGACAAATTGGAACAATAGAATAGGAAGAGAGGAATGATTTTTTAAGGGCCATAAGACTTTGAAAGGGTAAGGGTAAAATACAAGCAGAAGTGTGGATGGAAAATAAAATACCATCAAAAAGCTAATAGAGTAGAATTTATGGAAAAGATACTGAACTAAAAGGAAAGGTGCACAGAGCACAGCGGAGGAAGAACTTCCTCGGCAGCATCCTGGATCCTTAACTTTGTCACTTCTCAAAGCCCTTCATCAGGAAGCTGCATCTGCTGCCAATCACCAAGGACAACTGGGGTGGAGATCTGTTAGGTGCTACATCATTCACAGACAATGAGGACGCACTCCTCTGGAGGTCCCAAGCTCTCAGCTGTACTTCCATGTGCCTAAGGCCTGGATGGGTGACAACCAGTTAAGAGAGCACTGGGAACCCTGGAGTTTCTACAGCATGGTGGGGCTAGAAACCAGACTGAAAGGGGTTGAAAAGTGAATGGGAATTTGGCAATGGAAGGGAAGAAAAATAGAGGATGACGGGCTGAGGCTTTGGCTGGGTCAATCCATGACCCAAACTGGCTCAGACCTGAGCGTTTGTAAAATGCGGGGAAGAAACCAGTTAAACAGTTAGGGAGAGATGGAAAGGGATGGAGACACTCAGGAGAGACAGCAGACAGAGAGAAGAGAAAATGACTGATGAGGCAAGCTTCTGAAGGAACTTCGGAAGCCAGAGACTCCGACTGGCAGCCATGACAACACCCCATCTGGGACCCTGACGTCTTCAATTTCTTGACCAAAAGCTCTCCATTCAAAGCAGAGCTTTCGTACTTTGTCCTGGAAGCATCATTCCTTCCTAAGTCACCAGAAGGGAGTAACAGTCTGAAGGATTCTGTCACATGGCACAGTAGGAAGCATTCTGGTCTCAGAGTCAGAGGACTTGGGGTCAAATCATGACCTGTACCACCCATGTGCTCAGACTCTCTGGGCTTTAGCTCACAGCTGCAAAAGGGGGCAAACTAGATGCCCTCTAAAGGCCCTTTCAGCTCGGTCTAGGACCTAGATCTGGTCCACACCCAGACACATTTATCGAGCATCTACTTAATGGGAAGAGTATCAGCTTGGAATTCAGAGGGCCTGGCTTCAAGGTCCCAGCAGTGCCTGACTAGCTGTGTGACCCTGGGGAAATCATTTGTGTAAGGGAGGAAATAAGCACGTATTAAGGGCCTACTACATGCCTGTCACTGGGCTAAATGTTTTCACTTCATCCTCAAAACAACATGGTGTTGTTATTCTCCCCATTTTACATTGGAGGAAACCGAGGCAAACAGGTGAAATGACTTGTCCAGCGTCACCTCAGGTCTTGTTGCCCCCGGGGCAGGCTATGTGCTTTGTGCCCCCCCCAAGCTGCCTCAACAACTTGTTCTCTTTTGAGTCCTGAGACTTCTCCTCAAAACTAGATCAAATCTTTGTCCCACTCAAAGGGTTATTAGGAGGCTCCGATGAGATCCGTGATGGGAAAGCTAAGCGTTATCAATTACATAAGTTATCACTGAGGGCCAGGCTGTGTGGGGGCTACAAAGAGAACCAAGGCAGAATCCCCCACCTCTATGAACTTATCACCCGGCAAACCCAGAAGCAAACAGTCACCCCCAAATGCATCCAGTTTATAGACTCCTGCTTGTGGTCTTCTCAAATCCCGGCGGGAGAATTCATTTAGCCCAAGTTGAATTTCACTGGACTCCATTCAGTGGGAGAGCCTAGAAGAGGTCAGCATGATGGAGGACGCATGATAGGGGGACCGGTAAGAACTAGTCTCCGCCCTCACGGAGCTTACACACTTCGGGCAGGAGTGTGTAGGGGAGATTTTCATAAAAACAGAACACGTGTGGTGCCGAGTGGGGTAGAATGATCACAAGGCAGGGATGATGAAAGATGGTGAAGCTGGACAGAATGTGTCCAGTCGGGAAGGGGTTAGAGGAAGTAGTGCCTGAGCGGAAGGACAAAGGCAAAAAAGACTGAGGGGCATGGGGTTATGGAACCTGAACCCCAAAAAGGAAAAGACCCCCAGTCCTTGAACTTCTCTTACATTTCGGCTGCCCTGTCCCTGGCACTTTCCTGAGGCATGGGGCCGATCCCAGTACAATCCTTTTAAGCCCCAACCACTCCCCTCATCGCCCGCACCTGAACCACCCCAGGCTACTTGCCACTCCTGGATCCCAGCCAGACCTTCCCAGTCTTTTTCTGTATAAAAGTACCAATCTTACCCCCATTAAATTTGGAAGATTCTTAGAATCCCACCCGCTTCTATTGGCGGCACAATAAACTCACGGCTCTGACTGAAAGAAGCCTTGAGTGGCCTAACTCTTTCGAGGCAGACCCGCTTTGAATCCTTGCATTTCAGGGCTGAGCTCTGGATGCCTCCTCCAGGAAGACCACCCGGACCGCCCTGCATTCAGTCATTGCTGCTTCCCCCATATAGACCATAAGCTCCCCGAGGGCAGGGACTGCTCCCCTTTTGTCCATTACCCCCATCACCGAGCACAAGGCCGGACACATAGTAGGTTTAATGGAGCTCCACAGCTGGAAGAGACTTCCCAGGGGAGGGCACTCCCTCCACCAGGCTCACAGCCACCAGGCAGGACTCGAACCTCCAGATCTGCCTTTAAGGCTCCCCACGGGTATGACCCAGGGCTCCGAGCCTCAGTTTCCCCCTCCCTCCCAGCAGTTGTTGGGGCAAGAGTGGTTTAGAAGGGATAGCTGTCATACAGCCGGCGTGGCCTGCCGGCTGCTCAGCTTTCGGCTAGGGGGAGGTGGGGCAGCGATTGCCCTTCACAAAGATGGCGACCGTGAAGCAAAAACTTCTGTCCACCCCGCCACCAGGATCCCATCCGCATATGCGCAGAACAGTAAAGAGGGAGGGAAGCGACGGAGAAGCCCTTGCCCTTCACAAAAATGGCGATCGCAGAAGGAAAAACTTGTCAACTCGGGCCACCAAGCCCTTCTTTCTGCGCGTGCGTAGAGTAGTAAGGGAGGGGTGGGACATAGCCGAGTGTGCCCTTCAGAAAGATGGCAGTCATAGTACCAGGGTGGCCGTGCCTGCCCGCCCCAAAGATGGCCATCACAGACCAGGCGGTCCCACTTCGGTTCCTTCCGGGGCATAAGCATGAGAACATTAGCAGCGCCTGCCCTCTCCAAAGATGGCCGTGCGGCCGCACACCGCTGGGGGACTTCGCGGCGGCGCTCTGAGAACGAAAGGGTGGGGCTCTGGGACTCGCCCCACGATCCCCGGAAGCAGGGGCGGGCACTTCCGGGGGCGGGGTCCGGCTGTGGCGGGGTCGCCATGTCGTGGCTGAGGGCGGCATGCGCGAGACCCGGGCAGGACGGGAGCGCGGACGCGGACGTCTTCGACGACGAGGCAGACGAGACGCTGCCGGCGCAGCGGGAGTGGAAGAAGCGCGTGGAGCGGCGCGTGCGGGTGAGGCCCTGTAGCTCGGAGAGGCGGGGGCCGCGGTGGGGTGTGACGGAGGGCTGGGGCGGAAGTGACGTGTGCGGCCGAGTAGCCAGTAAGTAGTTTCAGGGGCGGGACTTGGATGCCGGGGACGCCTGCACGTGGCGGCCAGCCCCTCCCCTGGGCCTGGCTCCCTGGCTTTGACCTTGATGCATCAGGACCCCTTCCCGCCCCCCACCCCCTCTGCCTCCTCCTCCTAAATGTCTCCTAAGAGCGTGGAGCGCATGCGCGCCCTGGGGCGAAGGCAGACCTGGGGGTATTTGTTTACAAATAAAAGGCACGTGCACGTGTACGCGCCTCACCCCGAGGTCCCAGGGCTGAGTCTGCGCAGTCCTCTGCCAGCTGGGAGGGGGGCGGGGGATTATGCGCCCGATAATTGGCGGCTGTGGAGCACGGAGCACCTCCGACCTATTAGAATCCGCTCCTGAACATTCAAACTCGTGTGAGAAGCCTGACCCGGGAGGCTGGTGGGAAACTTACAACTTCGTAAACAGGGGCGGCCCAGCAGATCGATACTTAGAGTGACTTTGTTACCACCTCGTTACAGTTCAAAGCGTGCTTTTGTTTCTTTTCACTGGGTGAAAATCCCTTTTTATTTTTGTTCCTTGTATTTTCTTTTGTTCTTATTTATCTGTATTCATGGGAGTTAAAATGTAAAGAAAAAAAGACAGAATTCTTTGCCTTCTTGGTGTCGTGGACCCCTCTGGCAGTGTGGTAAAGAGAAAGATGATGGCGCCTTCTCAGAATCGTGTTTTTAAATGTGTAAAATTATAGGAAACCGAAAGTGAGTGAAAGGATGATCTTTTTTTTTTTTTTCCCATCCAAGTCCATAGAACAAGTGATTAGAGAGGAGGGAAGCAAGGGCCAGTAACTGCAAATGAAGGCCAAAGAGTAGCGGGGTCCTGTAAGGTAAGATAAGGTCGGCAGTGCTGATGTCAGCACGAGCCCAGGCTGGGGTGGACCCGCAGAGGACTTTTTTCTAAGCTATGTTGGGCATTGGAGAGAAGGGATGAGGCCACTACTCAGAGGCGATGGGCAGATGCTAGCAGAAGACAAATATGTACAGCTGTTGCTTTGCTCTGAGAATGATCTTTGGACCGTGAAGGTTAGAATACAAAGCTGAAATTCAAGGTAATTAAGGTGATGATGAGAATAATGAGCTGCTTTCCTGAATTCAAGTCCCGGTTCAGGACCGGCTACACCCAGGGACCTGAAGGAACTGGCACCTGGGATGCCAGAGGACACTATCAGTGACAGTCTTAGAAGATTTGTCAAGAGTCAATTCCGCAAGCATCTATTAAGTGCCTACTGCGTGCCAGGCACTGGAAATGCAAAGAAAGGCAAAGGCCAAAACAGCCCTGGGAGCTCAGCCTGATGGGGGAAGTAACTTGAAGCAACCCAAGTCATTTGAGAGTTTATTTTCCGAATTGAAGCAGTTGCATGTTTTTATTAGCAACTTCGTTTTCGCTCTTACGTGGGCAGCCACACCATTGCATGTTCGCACCTCAGCGAAGTAGAGAAGAGCTGGGCCGGGCATTGGCCTCAGGCTTGTGCTGTAGACAGCCTTGGAGCCCAAAGGAAGGAAGAGACAGAAAGTACCCCCTTCCACCTCACCAGGCAGAAAAATGTATTTTCAGCCATCCCCAGCAGAAGATCACAGGTTTTGGTGGTCGCAGGACTCTGACCCCCTGTTTCCTGTAGAATCACATTTTTCCTTTCATGCTGTTTTCTAGGAACATTAGTTACCCTTGTGAAAGTTGAGGATTGACTGTAGGTACATGAGCGTGGCTCAAGTAGGGAAAACCCTGATTTCAGAATCCCTGGACCTTCTGGAGACCTCAAGGATTCCTTGTGTTACTGTGGACAAGTCCCCGCACCCCTGGGCCTCAGTGGCCCCATTTGTAAAATGAAGGGGTTAGGCAGGACCAGGCCTTCTTAGGAGCCGCCCAGCTCCAAATCCATGATTCTGTGTGATCGTGTGGAGGCCACCCTTGACAATAACATAGTTAACTTTATAACTGGTCATCTGGCAGGAAGAACATTGCCTGGCCCACCCACCAGTGCCAGAGTGGTCGCCATTCCAGGCTTTCCTAGCAGAGGGCTCGCTGATGGCTGCCATGTTCTTTTATTTGGTCTGAAATTCAGGCCAGGCTCATGCACTAGGTGCTGTTATCCCCATCTTACAAAAGCAACGTCGTCCCTGGCCTCAAGGAGTTTCTCAGCTGCTGGACTGAGCTAAGAGATTGCTTCCCACCTTGGGCAGGAGATGAGAGAGGGACCAGCTTGGATCCCAGCCAGGAAGAGCGTGGCTAGGACCACAACTAGACTCTTGCCCATGGGTGGTGCATCCTCTTGCTCTCTGCCTCGCATGGAGGGAAGGCACCAGGAGGCCTGGCCATGCAGTCCTGCTTTCTTCCTCCCTCCTCATTCTCCTGGGGCTGCCTATAGGAGCAGGGACCTTTATAACTCGGGGGTGGGGACTTCTCTGTGAATCTTCAATTTCAAGCATTCTCAGGACTGGTGCCTGGAAGATCTCCAGAATTCTGGCCTCCAGCAGGTTTGTGGCGGGGGGGGCCTGGTGCCTGAAGACTTGAAAATAGTTTAGTCTAGAGAAGTAAAAGTAAAGTAAAGACAGTAAAGAGGACGTACAGGTTATCACCAGACACTTGTATGGCTCTGTAAGGTTTCTCCTTGTCCTGCTAGGGTCCTGAGGGCACACGTCCCATTGGGTGCAAGGTCCTGAGATGCCTGTTTGAGCTCCATGTCCTAATGATTATTGCTCTCCAAAGGGAAAAGACTGCCCTGAAAGGTACTGAGTTCCCCATCACTGGTTTTGTGGTGTGGCAAGGGGAAAGGCTTTTTCAATGGATGCTGAATGATCACTTCCTAAGTATATCATAGATCACATGCCCATTCAAGTCAGGGTTTAACTAGATGAGTTCTAAGGTCCTTCCAAGGCCATGGCTCTGACCCCGTTACTGGATGCCAGCCACACTCCTCTGAACTCACCTCGGCCTTTCTCTGTTCTTCCTAAAATATTGTTTCCAGAACTGAATACAAGAGTCCAGACATCATCTGGCCACAACCCTTGAGAAAAGATAAATAGTATATCCCCTGGAGCCTGGGGAAACAGGCCCCTTTGACTGTGGGTGTCCTGCTCCAATCCCAGGCACCCTTTGGGAAGGGACGTTCACAAGGATACTCAAAAGGCCCCAGGACTTTCCCCCCATGATTGCAGTGACTAAGAGGGGAGGCAGTGGGCCACACAGGAGCCACCACAGGGGCCCAGACCCCGTCCTGTCTTCTTGAGTGGGTCTGGAGCTCAGTGCTTGGAAATACTCTTCCCTTGCAGCTGCTCCTTAGAACGGTGATTTCTTTCTGGTTGCCTTGCTTCTAGGAAGGTTATAGAGATGGTGTGGATGCTGGAAAAGCCGCCGTCCTTCAGCAGGGCTTCAATCAAGGTTATAAGGAGGGTGCCGAAATCATTGTCAGCTATGGGCAGCTCAGAGGAACCTTAAGGTAACCCCTAAAAACCTGTTTCCTTTAGGGAGCCATAATTTGTGAGCAGCTTCACCCTTAACTATTTCAGCCTGGAAACTTACTAGAAACTGTTGTGGAAGAAGTATCTGAAAACAAATGAATATACTGTCTTCCTGTGTCACAGAAATTCAGCTCCTGTTTTGGGGGGGAGGGAGTCAGGGAGGGATAGGAACATGGTTGGTTTTCTTGTATTTGCTCCTTTGTGGGCTACTCAGCTCAGAGTGAGGTGGAGAGAGCCCTGGGCCTAGGATCAAGAAGACCGGAGTTCAGATCTGCCCTCAGGCACTTCCTAGCTCTGTGACCATGGGCAAGTCAATTCACCTCTGCTTGCCTCAGCTTCCTCATCTGTAAAATGGGGATAATAATAACCCCTACCTCCCAGTGTTGTGGTGAGGACCAAATGAGATCGTGTTTGTAAAGTGCTGAGCACAATGCCTGGCACACAGTAGGTACTAGATAAATGTTATTCTTTTTAAATCCGCTTTGCCCCCCGACTCCTCCTAATAAAGTACCATTTCATAAGGGAAAATAAAATCTGTTAGTAATATTTGGTGTTGAAAATCAAAGGGTCATGAGATTTAGCCATATTACACAGATTTAAAGAAAAAGCCTTTGATTGCCCCCAAAACACAGGCTCTGTGTTTGGCATGCAGGGGTAACTTCCGTCAGAGCCGGCGGGATCTCTGAGAGTGCCCTTGACGTTTCTGCTGTGTAACTCTTACTTTTGTGCTTGCCCAGCGCTCTGCTCTCCTGGTGTGGCCTTCAGGATCGTGGCTCACCTTGGATCGAGCCCCTGAGTGACCTTCTGGACGCCGTGGGCCAGTGCGAGCAGTCTGTGCTCCAGCGCCTGACAGCCGCCCCTCCCCAACCCCACGTGGCAGATTTGTTGGATTCCATCCAGGACATGGACCTTTGTCCCTCAGCCCCGGCCTGTGAAAAGAGCGAAGAGGAAGGCCTCGGGAGATTTGACACTGACTTGAACACAGACTGCCGCCAGGAGGCCGACCCCAGCCGCAGTCCCCTTTCTCCAGGCCATAGAACACAGAGGGGGTCGCGTCCTGCGAAGCCAAGCTTCTCCTGGATTGCAGAACAAACCGCCAGCATCGTGGAACAGCTGGGCTTGTCTGCGGACATCCTGCAGAACATCGGGCGACCAGGAAACTAGCTTCACTTTTTGTCACAAATAATATTTTTAAATCCATTTTATAGATTTGATTTGATTTTATCAACAGTTGGACCAAAATATTTATTGAATTCTGCTTTAATCTGTTCAGCCGTTACTGGTGCGCTTGCAGACATTTAAACTTGATGTGGCAGAAGCTTCTCTCTCCATGTCCCCGCCCTCTGCCCTTCACCTCCCACTGTGTCTGCTGCCTTGTCTTACGAATGAGGAATTGGGGGAGGGGGGAAGATTCCTCAATCCCAGAAGAGTTTTCCCCCAACTCTTTTGTAATTATGAGTCTGATGCACTTTTGTAAGTCCATTCTCATCATAACACCATCATTGGGTGCTTACTGGAATTCTCAGCCTTAATAACAAAAGCGGACCAGGGCTAAGCACACATTTCTTCCATGATGTCCTTACTTCTGATCTCATCACAGAATCAGAAATTAGTCTGCCCAGCCCCCACATCTGGCGCACCTGAATCATAGGAACTTGTATTCTGTGCATGTATAGATGAAACCACTCACGTTTCTGTAGATCGTTACAGCTTGTAAGTTGCATCACTCAGCAGCAGCCCAGAGAAGTAGGTCATGGCAATATTATGATCCCCATTACGTAGATGAGATCCCTGTGGACACACGGTACCTGGTGATCTTAGACTCGGGCCAAAGTCTTCTCCAGCCATTATGGCACGCCACCCCCAGCCATCCCAGTAAAAATGGGGGCAGTGGTAAATACCATCCCTGACGTTTGCTTGCCGACCAAATTAGTTATGGAATTAGAAGATGCCCTCCTGGTTGGCATGCCTCGCCCCAACAGCTGCCTACATCTCCTCATTCACTTCCTCATGAGTGACATCTTTGTCTGTTTGAATCTTCTCCGTGACGGGAGCTCACTACCTCGTGAGATCTTCTCAGGGTGCTCTGATTGTCAGGAAGTCCTTATGTTCCTTTAGCTGGTCGCCACTCTGCCCTCTGCTGCCGCAAAAAATTAGGTTAATCCGGGGAGGGGTGAACCACCCAGTAACTGTAGACCCACCTGCAATCTTTGGTTAACCTCAGGATGGACCTTGTTGCCTTTTCATTTAAGCGAACAAAGTGGGGCAGGATTTTGATGGCCATCAGCAACTGTAAGTTAGGGAAGACTTTTCTGGAATTTTGTGTGACCGACCCCTCTTTGAGCCACAGCATGGTGTGGTGGACGGTGCCTGGCCTGGAGTCAGAAGACACACGCAGGCCCCTGGGCTCCTTATCTCGAGCCCATCCCTGCCTCCTTGGCCTGAACGTCACATCCCCCACGTCTGCATCCTTTGCTGGGCACGGGGTTGCTACTGGCCGCTATGGGCTCTTGTGGCTCTTGGAGTGAGGTCTTCTCCCCAGCGCCAGCCAACAAGCTGCCCACAGTCTCCCCTAGCTCAAAGTTCTTCGGGCAGCAGTAATTGGATTGTCTCAGTGCAGTGGAGGGCATTAGTCAGCTCAGTCCTGGTCCTCAGGCATCCTGGGGGTGAAGCTTCCTAGATGTCTCCCAGTCCCTTGGGAAGGTCCACACCACCAGCACCCGGGTTCTCCTGAAGCTTTGGGGTTAGTCTGCAGCCCTGGCTAGTAGCTGGGGCAGTCACAGCCTGCTGGTGGTGGCCACCCCTGCTCAGAAAAGCAGAAGGGAATGGCTGGGGTCTGAAAGGTTCTCCTTTGGCCCACCCCCTCAGCTTTGGAAAGGGAGGGAGCAATTCTTGGCCCCTCCCAAGTGGAAATCCCAAAGCAGCCCATTATCTGAGTCAGAGGGCCCCGCTAAGGGAGGGTCCGAATGCCAACAGACATCCTCACACACACACTTGGCTACAGTTAGGCCAGGAATGTTTCCCCACTAAACTGAGCTGCTTAGGGGCAAGGATTGTTCTTTGTGTGCCCAGCAGAGGCACACATTAGGTGCTTAATAAATGCTTGTTGACTGACTAACTACAAATTACCTTTTTTACATTTGAGCTCATCAATAAATTCTCCCTGTGAAGCCACATTGGTTTCTTTCTATACATTGTGTGCCTTATTGGGGTCATTTTCACTGTATGCTTGATAATTTCCCCGGGGGAGGGGGGAGGTCTCCAGCACTTGGGGAGATCCTTGTCAGAGGATATGGAGAAGCATTGCACAAACCACTGGAGGGAGGGCATGCCCACCTTGATAAAGTGAGAGCCATGGGAGTCTAGGGAATGTGAAAACACGCCCTGAAAAAAAAAAAAAACACCCTGGAGAAAAGCAGCTATGCAGGGCTTTTTCTTAATGGGCAGTGACCCAAGCATTTTCCCAAGTTGTTTGGCTCTCCGAGGACCTGTGCCTTCGGCTTGAGGTCTGCTTCCCAGGGTGTGGTCATTGGTACAGATTTATCAGCGCTGGGCCAGGCATTAGCCCTCCTGGTCCCAAACACTGGAAGAGAAAACTCCTCTTCATCATCTCAGCTGGAGCTCAGCTGGCCTTGGCTTCAAACCCTCCCTTGAGAAGAAGACCATCGCCACCAGATGGCTCCAGAGGAGAGAGTGAGGCCAGTGACTGCACAGTCTAACGCTACCCTCACCCTCAAATCCAGTTCACTTGCAAGTCATGGCACCACCTTCCAGAATGAAGGACGAACAAGGACCACACCACAGTGCATTCCACTTGGAGAGCACTCTCACTTAACGTTCAGAAATGTTGCCTTTTATCAAGTCTAAACCTGAGTGTGTAAACCTCTGAACTGGACGCCCGAGAGAAATCAGAGCATCACACCCAATTGACTTTAATTGAGAGCGCGTTTATTTGAGCCGGCCGGCGACGGACCCCAGGCATGCATCCCAGGGGCCGTCCCACCGAGGGTTTCATTTGAGATATTTATACTGTCCGGTTACAAAACAGGGGTGCCGGGAAGGGAACAGGGTCCGGTGGGGTGCCGGGAAGGGAGCAGGGTCCAGTGGGGTGCCGGGAAGGGAACAGGTTATTTACAGAACAGGATGTTGCACCCCCCCCCTTGAGGATTTCACCCAGGGTGTTGTAACAGCCGTTAGGGGAAGCTGAGCCAGAGGCCCCGGGGCGTGGTGCCCCTGGGTCCCTAACGGAGGGTCTATCACATTCCCCCCTTTTCAAGAGCAAGTTATACAGGGGACTCAACAGAGTCCAGGGGTGCTGACTCTTCCAAATCCAGGGGTGTATAGGATTTGCGTAGGACAAACAGTTTCAGAGACTGTATACGCTGCTGGATGTAGCGGGAGAGACAATTCATGATGCAAGGGGCGACCAATAATCCTAGGAGGAGAAGAACCAAGGGGCCCATTATAGCAGAGAGTAGAGTGGTGAGCCAGGGGGACCAGTTATACAAGTCCTGGTACCAGGAGGAGCTGCGGGCTCGGGCTCGGTCCCTATCATCTAACCACTGCCTTAATGCCTGCAGGGATTCCCGGATGACACCTGAACGATTGGTATAGAAACAACAGGTCTCTCCCAGGGCCATATACAACCCCCCCTGTTTCAGGAATAACAGGTCAAGGGCGCGGCGGTTCTGAAGTACCACCTCCGCTAGGGAATCCAGGGAAGTCTCCAGGTGGGAGACTAGTCCCTCCAGAGCTCGTAGGTCCTTATCCACCTGGGTACTGAGGGCCGCATAATCTGCCTTTCCCTGCACTAGGGCGGTTGCTCCCACGGCTGCAGACCCGGCCACCCCGAGCCCCACCAGCAAGGGCACTAAGATAGGGGCTGCCCTTCTGGAGCGGGGTAGGCCGAAGTGTTCAGTGGCCCCCTCCTCGGAATACACATACACTTGTGGGAACACCCTAACTATCACACAGATCTCAGTGGGGCTGAGGAAGTGGCGATCTTGTATACAGGTGGTGAGGCCCAGAGTGCAGGCGAACCAAGTCTCGGGTGGGGTGGTTATCAGGAAGCCCGGCCTATTGGACGAGGATGTGACTAAGATACAGAAGTGCAGGTTGAATTAAATGGGGAAGCTCTCAACGGGTAGTCAGGTCCAAGCAAGCACGTCCCTGTGCCCTGGACGTCATCCAACGTCAATTTAGGCCTATTTGGGTTACAGCGGGTGGGGATTGCTGTGGAGGAGGGGTTCTGCATGGACAAGTTCCCCAGAAATGAACTGTTTAACTCCAAAGCAACCCCCACAAAGTATGGGGGAGCCGGGTTTAGACACAGCCAGCAGGCGGTAGTGACATTGGGGTCGGAGGAATTCAAGAATGCATGGACCGCAGTAAGGGTGTCAAGTATGGAGGCCCCAGGGGCACTGGGTGTTTTCAGAGTCGCCGACCCTGGTGTAGCAGAGGGCTCAGCAGACGGAATCAGATCTATCTTGGCCCGTGGGTTGAGGACAGGGTTGGGGCCTATGGGAAGGGGCTGAACGGGTAGGGCGATCTTTTGTATTGTAAAAAGGACACCGTTGTCCCATCCAGTCATATACAACCTCAACCCCCATGAATGCCCAAGATTCCATGAATCATCCGTGTACTGTTTGACCGTTAAGATCATGGGGTTGCATTTTCCAGGCCAGCAGGAATACGGGAGAGGTGACTGTCTTTCCAAAGTGATGAGCGGGTCTTTTCCACCCCCAGGAATCCAGTCTGCCACTGTCTCACACCCCCATTCTGCGCAGTGGAAACTGCCGTCTCCACGGCAAGAGGGGCTTCCGGTAGCAGGACAGGCATAGAACTGGATGCCCCTGATATTATATTCACCTTGTCCTGCTCCATGTTGGGTGGCTGGTATGGGAATAGTAGGGCAGTGCCCGCCCCCTCCCGTCACAGGGTCCTGCAGGTGCCTATCTCTATTCCATCCCGATCCTAAGAGGGCACAGAGGTCAAACCTGAAGGTAGGCGGGCCATAGCAAGTTAAGGTCTGTATGATGGTGCCATCATTGGTGCGGGATAGAATCCACCTATGTGGCGTGGGGCGGTAGGGGTTACAGACTGCGGGATATTCCTTATAAGCAAAGAGGAGAAGCGAAAGAATCAAGTTTTGGAGAGCCGGAGCCTTAGATCCGACACCGCCTATGCTTTCCATTTCGCGGGCTCAGGCGCCGGAGTCTTCTTGACGTGTGACCGATGTATCCAAGCCTTTCGACCTGCGACTTTCACGGCCGATGGGTTGCAGAGGATCACTTGGTAGGGCCCAGTCCACCGCGGTTCCAGAGCCGATCCGGCAGGCAGTTTGCGGGTGAGGACCCAGTCTCCAGGTGTCAAGGCCTCCGAGGTAGCGGCAGGATTCGAACTTCTCCCTGCAGCCTTCAGGACCGATCGTACCGCGTCTTGGACCTCCCGGAGTGCCTGAAAGGACTTAAGAAGAGTGGGGTTAGTAAAATCCGGGGCTGGGGTTGCCCCTGTTACCTTTGGTAGGACAGGTGGGGGTGCCCCATAAAGAATCTCGTATGGGGAGAGAGAGAGAGTGGAAGAGTTAGGAGTACACCTAGCCCGAAGGAGAGCGAAAGGGAGGAGGCTAACCCAGTTATCGCCAGTTTCCAATTTGAGCTTAGCAATGTGCTCCTTCAAAGTCCTATTCATCCTTTCTACTTGCCCTGAACTCTGAGGCCGGTACGCACAATGTAGCTTCCACTTCAGTCCCAGCATCTTGGATAAGTTCTGAATTGTTGCAGATACGAATGACGGCCCATTGTCGGACCCTATTGAAGCTGGCAAGCCGAATCTGGGAATGATTTCAAAGAACAGTTTTTTTGCAACTACCGTGGCGGTTTCAGCTTTTACTGGGAACGCTTCTGGCCACCCGGAGAACGTGTCTATGAATACAAGGAGGAATCGGTACCCGCCCTGTCCAGGTCCCATATCGGTGAAATCAACTTCCCAGTGATCCCCGGGGAAGGTCCCCCGCGGTCTATCAGCCGGCACCCTCGTCACTGGCCGGGGGTTGATCTTTGCACATGTACTGCATCTCCTGGCCGCCTCCTCAGCTGCCTGTTTCATCCCTGGGCTGTAGAAATGCCTACTCACCAAGTCATAGAGCCTGGTTCCGCCTAGATGAGTGAGGTCATGGAGGGTCATCAATAGAGGGGGCAGGAGGGCTTTGGGCAGGATTAACAGACCGTTTGGGTGTCTTCTCCATCCCCCCTTTTCAGGCACGCCATCCAGATCGCCGGACTGGTAAGAAGGTCGTGCGGGCAACAAATTTTCCGTCTGGACAGCGAAGGCGGGGAGAGGCATCCTTCTTGCGGCCGCACGGGCGGCTCTGTCTGCGGCTGCATTTCCCTGCGACTGGGGGTCCGTCCCACGGGTGTGAGCTGGGACATGGATGACTGCCACCTCTTTGGGAAGCCAGACAGCATCCAGGAGATCCTGAATCTGCCTCTTATTCCTGATCTCTTTCCCTGCTGAGGTTAGCAGGCCGCGCTGCTGGTACACGAATCCGTGAACATGGACAGTCGCGAATGCATACCTGCTGTCAGTGTAGATATTGACTCTCTTGCCCTTCGCAAGCCGGAGTGCCTGTGTCAAGGCAACCAGCTCTGCCCGCTGGGCAGAAGAACCAGGCGGCAGGGCTGCGTCCCAGAGGGTCTCGGTCGGGGTCACCACTGCGGCCCCGGCCCTCCGAATCCCATCCTCCACGAAGCTGCTGCCATCTGTGAAGAGGATCATGTCAGGGCTGGTCATAGGTACATCGGTAAGGCCGGGCCGGGAGGTGTGGATGGCGTCAAGGACGTCCAGGCAATCATGCAGCGGTGATGCCGGCGGGGAGTTGGGAAGCAGCGTAGCGGGGTTCAAGGTCACGGGCGCAGAGAAGGTTATGTGGGTTGGATCTAACAGGAGGGACTGGTAGTGAGTCAGACGAGAATTAGAGATCCACCGAGTGGGAGGGGTGTGCAGCAACTGCTCCAGGTGGTGAGATGCAGAAATCTCAAGGGGCTAGCCGAAGGTCAGCTTTGTTGCCTCCCTGACCAGGGTCGCGACAGCCGCAACGGTTCGAAGACATGTAGGCCACCCAGCAGCGACCGAGTCAAGCTGCTTGGAGAGATAGGCCACTGGGCGATTCCAGGGCCCCAAAGGCTGGGTTA